CAATTTATCCAATAATAATTGGCCCCTCTACCTCTTAAGCCTGCTCATGTAAAATATTTGGGCTCCTTACTTCGCCTATTTATATTTTATTAATAAAGAATAGAAGGATGAGTATTGCAACTATCTTAAAAGAAGTAAATTGGCTTTCAGTTCAGAATTATGTTCAGTACAGAGCTGGGACGAATCCTCGAAAAATGGATTCGAATCACGAGATGTGATTCGAATCACGAATCCAATGTTCGAATCCTTTCTCAAAAAAAAAAAGGATTCGAATCCAGTGATTTTTAATGCTGCCAATTGTCTTATATTTGTTAAGGAACTTTGTTATACAATTCTATAAAATGAGTTTTGACCCGTAAATAAATAAATTAATAAATAAAAACATTTAAAACTTGAAGCTGAAAAACGAAGCTGGCTGTCACATTTAGCATATAGGCGATTACCTAAGTGACTACATACTCGTATAAGTATAAAAATTGTTTAAACTTTACTTAAGTTTCCTTGTAAATATAAAAAAACTCTAGTTGATTGCCGTTATTTATCGATTTTTCACAAGAATCACTAATTTTTAATTATATTTTATATTAATAACTAAAACTCATTTTAAATAATAAAAAAATAGTCAACTTGACATTAAGTAATGAATTGTAATTGATAGAAAGCATAGAATGGATATAATGATATATTATATTCGTTCAATAGACTATTATCGCCCACATATTTATTTTGTATATCGTGCAAAAATAAATAATATACCTACATGTGGATGTGGATGCAGAATTTTTGTTCACTTACCTGTATTGAGGATCTATATCAGATTATTTGTTAATTCTGTAATTGTGCACAACGCCAAACACATCGGTTTTCTATTCAGTCTTAGTCTGTTTTAGTTTTTAGTTTACAATTCGCGACAAGTCAAAGCTTGAGTCGGTCGTTCGTGCTGGCGTAGTTTGGTCTCTAAAAGGATCCGAGACTGATATTGATGATTCGAATACGAATCCTTTAGGATTTTCTCTGCGAATCCGGATCACGGATCCTTTTTTTTCTAAAGTATTCGAATCCCGCTCTCGGATTCTCAAAAAGGATTCGAATCCTATGTGATTCGAATCCTCCCCAGCTCTGGTTCAGTACATGACTGATATTTATTTATAAAATAAAAATGACATAGTACCATCGCATCAGATCTATTAGAAAAAATTCAATATAATTCGCAATATCACAACTATAATACAAGAAGCCAATCTGAAGTTCCCAAAATACAATTTTTATTAAAGGTTTAAAAAATTTAATAGACTGCCTACAGAAATTAAAAAAACAATAAATGTATTCAAAAGTAACCTCAAACAATACTTGATAAATAAACAGAATGGCTATACTTTCTTGTGATAATACTCTTTAATCCTGCGCTTTTTAAGTATTTCCCTTAATTTATTGTTATTTAACCCCTCGTTTTATCCGCATTTATTATAGATTATTTGTTTTGAGATCATGTACTTTATTTTTAAAAAATTACTTGATGTTATATTAATACTACGTACTATGTTTAAATTATTAATAGTTTTGCGAAGATAGGTTATAGCAACTTATAGCTACAAAACTATTTTTGTGTTAAAGTAGATCCATAGAGAACAATGTAATTTACAAAGGCCTCCTTTCAACATATAAATAAATGACAACTTTATAATTAAAATGAAAAACAACAAAATACCTCGGTATCATAATTGATCCAACTACCTCTCTTTTATATAATAAAAAAGTGCTTTGTATAAGAACATTATATTATCTGTCTTGCTGTACCTTTATTTATGGAAAGCTTGAATTGGGATACACTACAAATTATTTTCAATAAATATCAAAAGAAGTATACATTTTTAAATAATTTGACATTTAAGAGCCATTCACATATCACAGTTGACATCTTGATACTTGACAGGCACAGCCAAGCATTATTCTGATTTTTGCCAAATAAAATGGCCGGTTAATTATTCTATGGGGTTGCGACAGAGAACCAGTAAATTTGATGAAGGTGTTTTTGTGGCTAGGGGCGAAATAGTAGTACGCTTAATAGCACCACCATAAAAAAGTCATTTTTAAGAAACTGCTTATATATTTTTCATAAATTGGCAGGCTTTCGAATGAAAATAGCCTCCAAAATGGCTATAGTTGCAAGTATGAAGGTCGCAACCCGCCTTAGAAATTTCACCTTTACTATTAACAGCTGTTGTTAGAGAATGTTTGCAATTTATGGAATTTAAAGAATGTTAGGAATTTTGACGTTAGAAATAATTGGAATTCCTAAAATTGTCACATAAGGAATGCATAGGCATATTTTAAGAAAATTGATATTAAAGTAGTTAGGATGAACCGAAAATTCTGAAAATCTATAGAATTCTAAGTTAGAAGTAATTATTCAAAACCGCAAGTCAATCAGAACTTTCGTTCTAGAGTTATCGTGCCGGCATACATACACACAGACGACTAGACGAAATATTTTTTTGCATTTTCGGACTCAGAATGATCAGAAACATGAAAAAAAGTTTTAAAAAATGGGGGTCAGAAAATTTTTTCGTCTGCACGAATGCAATACTGGGGCCCCATAGGAAGGGCCTCAGTAATTTTAATTCTAACACATAATTCGATCCTTGAAACGAATCCGCCTAATCTATTTTTTTACGATAATGCAAAAAGTTACTGTTTTTTTACTTTCCTATCTGTATACAGATATAAGGAAAGTATAGGAATCATGATTTTTTTCGACCTCGAGTTTTCGACGGATTTTTACGTTTTGAGGTCCCCTGAATCCGTTTTGACTATTTTCGCGATGATGTCTGTGTGTGTGTGTGTGTCTGTGTGTGTGTGTGTGTGTGTGTGTGTGTGTGTGTGTGTGTGTGTGTGTGTGTGTGTGTGTGTGTCTGTATTACTGAGTGGGCCGGACGTTACGCTGTCCGACTACCCATCGACGCCGATAAATCGTGTATCGGGAATCATAAAGTAATTTTTTTAAATTGTGATTTAATAATAAATATCAGCCAATCAATTTAAACTTAGTGAAATCGAAACTACGTTTCGAGCAAGGTAAGCCTTCCTCTTTCACTACATTAAAATTGTGACAGTTCTCTCTTTTTTTCATTTTTGCCAAGTTATTTTGTTACCTCTCATCGTAGATTCTAATAGGGAAGTGATATAGTTTATTTTTTTGACTTTGGTAGCTACAAGATCCAACGGGATTTCTGACATTTTTTTGCTATCTATCCTTACATTATTTATCGGTATTTTGTTATCGACGACTGATTTACCGAATCAGGCAAGAACCTCAGGGTGGATCTTGTACCTCCAAACATATTGTATTACTTGATCGTTTCTTTTGTCTATGATTAAAAATTTGTTACATGTTTAAATATATATTGAGCTAAATATATTAAGTTGTTAAACGTTCACCTGGTTTTATCTTATGTGTGTTAAGAGTTGTTGAGTTCTGCCCGAGTTCTATAAAGAGGGACAACCCCTAGTTCAGATAAGCTATCTAACAAAGTCCAGAGTTGGATAACTGAATAATTATTTAGATGTTCTTTTTATTCTTTAACCAAAATATAGTCGATTTAATCAGGTCTACCTTCCCCTTTTGTCAAAAGACACTCCGGGCACTTTTGCGAAGCCCCGGCGAACCTACTCCCGAGTAAGGACTATAGGTGCCTATTGTCAGTTTGCCAAACCATTTCCTTAATCCGCTCGTTCTATTCATCACGGGGGGGAAAATTCTTTTATTTTAAATCTATTATTTTATTTTTTCTTTTTTTCTTTTTTTTGTCACGGTGAGAGTGAATAAGCTCTAAGGACCTTATCCCCTGACTGTGGCTGGTGACAGGCTGCCTTTACACTTACAGTGTAACTCATGAACCGATACACGGAAAAACACCAAATTTCAAACTTAAGCTTTGTTCCAGCGTCTAATGAGCTGATTAGATTTTGGGCAGAGTCGGAACATCTGGGGGGGTACTTTATAGGTGGTCATTTTTATATTTTATGGAATATATCTGTTATTTACGTTTGGGGAAGAAAATTCTTCAAATGAAAGTTACTTCTTATTTTATTATCTATAATTTTTGTTATATACAAAATTTTCCTAAAATGGTCCGTATTCGCGAAATTTGACATAATGTAAAAAAATATTTTTTTTTATAAAAATTGTTCAAACAAAAGTTGTTTGTAATATAATTCTCTATAATTTTTGTCCCATAGATAATTTCTCTAAAATGGACCGTATTCGAGATATTTGAGAAAATGTGTAAATTTCGAAATTTGAAGAAAACTCAAAAACGGATAAAGAAAAAATCAATAAATTTTAAACTTAAGTTTTATTTCGGCCTGACGTGAAATGATTAGATTTTGGACAAAGTCGGAACATCTGGGGGGGGGGGGGGGTACTTTATGGGAGGCCGTTTTTATATTTTATGGAATATATCTGTTATTTATGTTTGGAGAAGAAAATTGTTCAAATAAAAGTTACTTCTAATATTATTATCTATAATTTTTGCCTTATGTAAAAATTTCCTGAAATGGTCCGTATTCGAGAAATTTGACAAAATGTGCAAAATTCTGATTTTTATGAAAATTGTTGAAATAAAAGTTGTTTGCGATATCGATCTCTATAATATTTGTTCATACATGATTTTTTTTTAAATGGACCGTAATGGAAAAATTGTAGGAAAAGTGCTAAATTTAAATTTTTCAGTATTTTCATTTTCAATGAATATCTATAGAAAAATGTTTCGCGGTAGATGTATGTGGACAATGTATATATTTAGTTTATCCTCTAAACATTTATAGAGATGCTGCAATAGGTTGTACACAATAAACGGAAAAAGCCTGTAATAACTAGATAGGAAAGTCATGTGTTGGACACATCAGATTTTTGTACTATCTTCCATGCCAAAAGTATAACTTTTTGCACTGGTGAAAATACTATGAAAATATTAATGTTAACTAACCCTTTTTTTTAGTGCTAGAAAAATCATAAGCAGTTTCAAAGGACATAACGATTATCAAATTCGACAATACAGCGCTTTAAGGCATTCATCTATAGTAAGAGCGTGTCTTTTGTAAGTAGAATAGAAATATTTATTAAAAAATATAAAAAGTATGTGGATCTTTTTTATATTTCCGAGAACTACTTTTAAAATAAAAAAAAGATCCATGTATAATTTAATTATTTATTGCATTGTTGTAAAATGTTTTATTTCTTTATTTTTGCAGAAGCGGTATTACAGTTTCTGGAGTGTTGTTGTTATGGATGACACAAAGCATTTTAAAAAAATAGAAATAATGAATTAGTGAATATTAAAAAGAACGTTAATTTGATAATAAATTTTATAAGCTACTTTTATTTTTATACAGTCTACCTATTAATACATACTACTTTTACTTTCCTTTAGCAACATTTTTACTTTCCTATCTGTATACAGATATAAGGAAAGTATAGGAATCATGATTTTTTTTCGACCTCGAGTTTTCGACGGATTTTTACGTTTTGAGGTCCCCTGAATCCGTTTTGACTATTTTCGCGATGATGTCTGTGTGTGTGTGTGTGTGTGTGTCTGTGTGTCTGTGTGTCTGTGTGTGTGTCTGTATAACGCATAACTCATGAACCGATACACAGAAAAACACCAAATTTTAAACTTAAGCTTTGTTTCAGCGTCCAATGAGCTGATTAGATTTTGGGCAGTGTCGGAACATCTGGGGGGGGTACTTTATAGGTGGTCATTTTTATATTTTATGGAATATATCTGTTATTTACGTTTGGAGAAGAAAATTCTTCAAATAAAAGTTACTTCTAATATAATTATCTATAATTTTTGTTTTATGCAAAATTTTCCTAAAATGGTCCGTATTCGAGAAATTTGACAAAATGTAAAAAACATAATTTTTTATAAAAATTGTTCAAATAAAAGTTGTTTATAATATAATTCTCTATAATTTTTGTCCTATACATAATTTCTCTAAAATGGACCGTATTCGAGATATTTGAGAAAATGTGTAAATTTCGAAATTTGAAGAAAACTCAAAAACGGATAAAGGAAAAAACATTATATTTTAAACTTAAGGTTTATTTCGGCCTGACGTGAAATGATTAGATTTTGGACAAAGTTGGAACATCTGGGGGGGTACTTTATGGGAGGCCGTTTTTATATTTTATGGAATATATCTGTTATTTATGTTTGGAGAAGAAAATTGTTCAAATAAAAGTTACTTCTAATATTATTATCTATAATTTTTGTTTTATGTCAAAATTTCCTGAAATGGTCCGTATTCGAGAAATTTGACAAAATGTGCATAATTCTGATTTTTATGAAAATTGTTGAACTAAAAGTTGTTTGCGAATATCGATTTCTATAATTTTTGTTTATACATGATTTTTCTAAAATGGTCCGTAATGGAAAAGTGCTAAATTTAAATTTTTCTGTATTTTCGTTTTCAATGAATATCTATAGAAAAATGTTTCGAGGTAGATGTATGTGTAAAATGTATATATTTAGTTTATCCTCTAAACATTTATAGAGATGCTGCAATAGGTTGTACAAAATAACCGGAAAATGCCTATAATAACTAGATAGGAAAGTCATGTGTTGGACACATCAGATTTTTACTTTCCTATCTGTATACAGATATAAGGAAAGTATAGGAATCATGATTTTTTTTCGACCTCGAGTTTTCGACGGATTTTTACGTTTTGAGGTCCCCTGAATCCGTTTTGACTATTTTCGCGATGATGTCTGTGTGTGTGTGTGTGTGTGTGTGTGTGTGTGTGTGTGTGTGTGTGTGTGTGTGTGTGTGTGTGTGTGTGTGTGTCTGTGTGTGTGTGTGTGTGTCTGTATAACGCATAACTCATGAACCGATACACGGAAAAACACCAAATTTCAAACTTAAGCTTTGTTCCAACGTCTAATGAGCTGATTAGATTTTGGGCAGAGTCGGAACATCTGGGGGGGTACTTTATAGGTGGTCATTTTTATATTTTATGGAATATATCTGTTATTTACGTTTGGGGGAAGAAAATTCTTCAAATGAAAGTTACTTCTTATTTTATTATCTATAATTTTTGTTATATACAAAATTTTCCTAAAATGGTCCGTATTCGCGAAATTTGACAAAATGTAAAAAAATATTTTTTTTTATAAAAATTGTTCAAAACAAAAGTTGTTTGTAATATAATTCTCTATAATTTTTATCCTATAGATAATTTCTCTAAAATGGACCGTATTCGAGATATTTGAGAAAATGTGTAAATTTCGAAATTTGAAGAAAACTCAAAAATGGATAAAGAAAAAAACATTAAATTTTAAACTTAAGTTTTATTTCGGCCTGACGTGAAAATGATTAGATTTTGGACAAAGTCGGAACATCTGGGGGGGTACTTTATGGGAGGCCGTTTTTATATTTTATGGAATATATCTGTTATTTATGTTTGGAGAAGAAAATTGTTCAAATAAAAGTTACTTCTAATATTATTATCTATAATTTTTGCTTTATGTAAAAATTTCCTGAAATGTCCGTATTCGAAAAATTTGACAAAATGTGCAAAATTCTGATTTTTATGAAAATTGTTGAAATAAAAGTTGTTTGCGATATCGATCTCTATAATATTTGTTTATACATGATTTTTTTAAAATGGACCGTAATGGAAAAATTGTAGGAAAAGTGCCAAATTTAAATTTTTTCAGTTATTTTCATTTTCAATGAATATCTATAGAAAAATGTTTCGCGGTAGTTGTATGTGGACAATGTATATATTTAGTTTTATCCTCTAAACATTTATAGAGATGCTGCAATAGGTTGTACAAAATAACCGGAAAAGTCTGTAATACCTAGATAGGAAAGTCATGTGTTGGACACATCAGATTTTTAGATGATTTTTCTATCATTTAAACATTTTATTAGTTTTTACTTTCCTATCTGTATACAGATATAAGGAAAGTATAGGAATCATGATTTTTTTCGACCTCGAGTTTTCGACGGATTTTTACGTTTTGAGGTCCCCTGAATCCGTTTTGACTATTTTCGCGATGATGTCTGTGTGTGTGTGTGTGTGTGTGTGTGTGTGTGTGTGTGTGTCTGTGTGTGTGTGTGTGTGTCTGTATAACGCATAACTCATGAACCGATAGACGGAAAAACACCAAATTTCAAACTTAAGCTTTGTTCCAACATCTAATGAGCTGATTAGATTTTGGGCAGAGTCGGAACATCTGGGGGGGTACTTTATAGGTGGTCATTTTTATATTTTATGGAATATATCTGTTATTTACGTTTGGGGAAGAAAATTCTTCAAATGAAAGTTACTTCTTATTTTATTATCTATAATTTTTGTTATATACAAAATTTTCCTAAAATGGTCCGTATTCGCGAAATTTGACAAAATGTAAAAAAATATTTTTTTTTTATAAAAATTGTTCAAACAAAAGTTGTTTGTAATATAATTCTCTATAATTTTTATCCTATAGATAATTTCTCTAAAATGGACCGTATTCGAGATATTTGAGAAAATGTGTAAATTTCGAAATTTGAAGAAAACTCAAAAATGGATAAAGAAAAAACATTAAATTTTAAAACTTAAGTTTTGTTTCGGCCTGACGTGAAATGATTAGATTTTGGACAAAGTCGGAACATCTGGGGGGGTACTTTATGGGAGGCCGTTTTTATATTTTATGGAATATATCTGTTATTTATGTTTGAAGAAAAAAATTGTTCAAATAAAAGTTACTTCATATATTATTATCTATAATTTTTGCTTTATGTAAAAATTTCCTGAAATGGTCCGTATTCGAAAAATTTGACAAAATGTGCAAAATTCTGATTTTTATGAAAATTGTTGAAATAAAAGTTGTTTGCGATATCGATCTCTATAATATTTGTTTATACATGATTTTTTTAAAATGGACCGTAATGGAAAAATTGTAGGGAAAAGTGCCAAATTTAAAATTTTTCAGTATTTTCATTTTCAATGAATATCTATAGAAAAAATGTTTCGCGTAGATGTATGTGGACAATGTATATATTTAGTTTATCCTCTAAACATTTATAGAGATGCTGCAATAGGTTGTACAAAATAACCGGAAAAAGCCTGTAATACCTAGATAGGAAAGTCATGTGTTGGACACATCAGATTTTTATAGTTATAGATAATGTCAACCAGGTGTTTAATCAAAATCCTTGTTTATGTCTCATGTATTGGATATTTTTGTTCTAAAACACAGATTTTAGTCCATAAAAAATAGTTTACATTACGAGTGTAGAAAGTGACATTTTTTCACACGAGTGGGAAATATTGTCGCACGAGGCACAAGCCGAGTGCGACTATCACACAAGTGTGGAAAATCACTTTTCACACAAGTGATGTACAATATTTTTTATACGACCACAAAATAATTTCCTCAAAAAATGTAAAACCAGGTTATTATTATAATAATTAAAATGTATTTAAAAAAATAATCAACAATATTCATATATTCATATTAATTTCATATTTTCTGAACAAAAAAAAAAAAATTAAAAAAAAACAAAAAAAAAATCTGGCCCCGCCAGGATTTGAACGCGGTCGCTCGCCAGGTCTCAAATGGCAAAGTTGATAAGTTTGACGCTCTAACCATCTAAGCTAATAGACCATGCGTCAATTTAATAATCGGTTATGTGTTTAACCAGAATAAAGAGCAAACATCTTAGTTATTTTAAAATTATTTTAATAATAATTGTTAAAGATAAATATCTAGGATCTAATTTACAACAATTTCAATAATTTAACAATCATATAGATTTGGACATTACAAAGATCAAAATAGAAATGATGCATTTGACATTTTGTGACAGCTGCTGCGGAAAGTAGCATATTCGTACACGGGTGGAAAGTAAATTCTTATTCATACGCGTGTGATAAAGGATACTTTTCATATGACTATATAGTGTGATATGTGTCACTTTCCTAAGTGGTCGTAGGAAAAATATTTTTCTACGATCACTATCCAAAGTAGCGTCCAATATCAAGCGATTAATTTTCTAGTTTCAAAATAAATATCGAACAAGCAGGAGCTTCCTTATACAGGGTGAGTCATGAGGAACCTTACAGACTTCTATCATATGTAGAGTCCCTTAGGGGATATGTCATGTGAGCATTAAAAAGTGGCAGTTCCCCTTCGAGCTGGCTGTTTTGTGAATGTTGACAAACATTTATATGGCTGTAAAAAACTACAAGGATTACTGAGTTTCTCTAATTTTTTGGTGAAACTGTACACTGTTGCCCATCATTTAATTCATATTCTCAAAAGTTAAAAATTCCAGGATAGGCTTAGGAAAATTAATCTCGGCGATTCATATCAAAAAGTTCGCCCTGTTTATGAATTTTTTAAATTATAATAAGAGATTTTTCTTCTAATCTGCCTTGTTT